AATCTTATTTCCAACGATTCTCCCTCATCTCGTCAATTTCGTGGAATGTATTAGTTGGTTTACAACGGGTTTATAACACCACATTCAACCAATCAATGCAGAGACGCCAGGACAGCAAGTCTGAGCACACTCTTGGAAGATGCTACATTTGTTTAACTCACAATTTCCATCCTCGCCTGCCGCCCATCGGCGACGCCTCATCCCGGTCGGCCCAGTTTGTTCATGTGTGCCCCTCGAGAGCACCGCCACAGCGGTGCCAGTGCCACTAATGAAAACGTCCAGAGTGGATCAGAAAATGTTGCCCGCAGACGCTCAGCCCTCTGCCCCTGTCACCGTTGAGATTAGCACCGCGAATGAGAACAGCGTGATGTTTTGAATAAGAGAGTGCTGGGAAATTCATTCGCAAAAATGCGGGCACATCCTGCAGGAGCATGCGTCTGATATGCTAGCATTGTAGACAAAGACGAATGAAGTGCATTGCATTTTCCTGAGTGTGGCCACGGCTGCAAGCCATGGTTAGGACAGGTACATATTCAAATCTAAATTACCCTATCGCTGTGCAGTGTGCAGTGTTTCCAAACTTGGTACCTAATGACAGAAGGCGGGTGAGTGGGAGGCTGCAGCTGCTAGGATACTCCCTTTTTGACTGGCTATGCCCGGCTGGGTGCGCAGTTGTTCGGGTAAGTCGTTCCACAGTCGTGTTGAAGCTGAAACAAAGGCCAGCTGGAAGGGAGTCGTACCACCGTGTGGTAACGTATGTGAGGTGCCATTCCGGGGTGTCCGTTCCCTCTGGCTGGCTTGTGTTGGGGAGTATAAACTGTATAAAGCTGCGTGGAATGCTGGTATCGACCTCAGCTTGTGGTGCAGGTTGAATTTGCGGAGTTCGTAGCTACCTGGCACAATCATCTACCCCGGATCCGGTCTGAGTCGGACGGTCGGTAGTTGAGTTTGCGGAGTTCATGGCTACCCGACACAGTCATCTGCCCCGGATCCGGTCTGAGTCGGACGGTCGGTAGTTGAGTTTGCGGAGTTCATAGCTACCTGACAGTCATCTACCCCGGATCCGGTCTGAGCCGGACGGTAGGTAATTGAGTTTGCGGAGTTCATAGCTACCTGACACAGTCATCTACCCCGGATCCGGTCTAAGTCGGACGGTCGGTATGCGGAATGGTGTCCCCGTCATAAGTCATGCTGCCCCCACTTAAGTACTTAAGTTGGCCAACGTCGTGCGTGGCCACGTGTTCGTCGGGCCCCACGTCATGGGGAGGGAAAAACGGTAGGATGGACGACGCCGGAGTGGGGATTGTCTGCTGATGTACCTTGAAATTGAACGAAGGGAGCTTATTGCTAGGCTTGCCTTCTTAGTTGTTTCATTAATGCGAGTATGACACTTGACGTGCGATAAGATTGTGAATTGGGGCGAGGTCATTTTCAGCTTGTGTGCGAATGTTTGCTGAAGCCAAAACGTCAGTCAGCCGCGTGAACAACGCAAAAGGCTTTGAATTGCGTACGGAATAAAGTCAGGAATCATGGATACGCGCTTGGTAGCTGAGAATGAAGATGATGCGACCACAAAATTCCCCAATGTGATGTCACAGTGGGAAAAGCAGAGAGCGTGAGCTCTGCCTTGAGGGCAGACGCCTTTGGATATTGAGCGTTGTCACTTCACATAAAATCAAGATCGGTGGCAGTGAGTGAGGGGGCAGCTACCGGGGGACCCAAAGCCCTAGACAAAAAACTAACAATACAGCTATGGTGTTGCAATACAGCTCCCCCCCCCCCCCGATCTCCATGAAGTTTTCACCGCCACTCAATCAAGCGCCCGAATATGACCTTAGGTTTACATGGATGCGTTTTACGTATACATTTTGTGTTTTGGATACTGGTACACCAGTTGAGATATGCCCTCTAAACTATGTTGAGTGGAATGATCACAAACAATGAATAAACACCCGGCGTGTGCGAGGGCTCCAATTTGGTCTACGTAATCCTAGTTGGAGTATGCTGCCTTTTTGTACTACCAATTCATTGCTAGATCAGAGGAGTCCGATTTTATTGATCATGTCAGTTTTTTCTCGATGTTCTAAGCTGCTCAGATCTTCTATTTGAAGTGGACGTCCTGACGGTACACATACGTCTGAACTCATAAATACGACAGTACTTATGGCCTTATTCCTCGTAGAATAACCAGGAGAATGGATAGATAGATAATTTATATTTTGGCTACATGCCTTTATCGAAACGAATATCAGCAGTAACAAGTAATAATCAGTAGGAGTTTGTCATGCAAGTGTGGGTTTCAAAGGGTTTTCACGCAAAAAACGTGGCTGACGAAATGAGGTGTAAACCGTGTGAAAAACATGCGAGGAACATATGAGATGTCGGGGAGTCCATGCGCCCTATTCACTCGAAATGTATTGAACATATGCAACACGCTGAAAACAAAAACGGAGTGGCCATTTCGGCGACCATTTTTGACAAAACACACTCAGGCTGAATGTTTTGTCAAAAAAGAAATCCAGGTAGGTACGGACTCCTTAACACCCTTAAGTGCTCAAAGTCATCTGCACAGGACCATCCAGACAGGAAAATATGTGAATCCATTCTTGTAAAAAAGTCGCGACCGAAACTTGACATGCATCACGGCCGATTGTGCGATCGTGTTTTGTACCTCGATGTGTGGTGCGTGATAGCTTAAAACCGTTTGCATATAGGAGTGATAATTAACGCGTGATGCGTGATGCCTGTTTGGTTGAAATTGTTTGCATGTATAAGTGATGCGTGCTACGCAGTGCCTGTTTACTGGATATCGCTTGCATGCTTGAATGGTGCGTGATGTGTGATGCCTGTTTGTTTAAATCCGTTTGCATGTACACCAGTTGTTCGCGTATTTTAATTGTAAGTTGGATGTGCACTGTATCATAGAAGTGGCTCGCAATTGCTCCTTGTTTTATCGCCTGAATATTGGCGTCCTTTAAAAATGTGGCTCGCTGGTCAAAAAAAAAAAAAACTGAAAAATCTGTAGGGTCTGCAGGCAATTTTGAATTTACCACTGATATCCGTTGCGATAAAGGCATGTAATCGAAATATCATTGCATCCATATTACGAGGAATAAAGCTATTGGACCTGTCTTATTTATATGCATAACATTCCTCGCAAATGCACTTAGGAACAATTGGCTGGACTCCATAGCTCTCACCCACCACAGTGAAGGAATGCTCTCAGATGCTTTGCTTCTCTCAACATGTGTGTTACGCAATGTTGATGATGCCCTAGTTGGCGAACATGTTTGTGCAGGAAAGTTATGCTAGTTTGAAGCATTTTATAGGGAAACTATGCAAACGATGGGGGCGTAATCATGGAATTCAACGAATCGCACCGAGACTGTCATTGCTCATCCGTGGTGTTTGGCACCACATTGGTCATTCACACCCGTAAGTGGCGGAGTACGTTCTGACCACCACCCTTGAGGTATATAGGGGGCCTGCTTGCGTCTTTAGGCAGCTTTTTCCTTTTTATGCCAATTTTGAACGACATCAACCAGAAATCCCCGCACAGTCACCGAGTCCGCAATGAACATCGCACGTAAATGTTTTTCCTACCCAAGGTAGCTCACACCGGAAATGAAACTCGAGACTACGCAGAAATAAGAGGGTGATGTTGTACTGAAATGCTGACCGTGTAGTTCGGACTGGCAATAATTAGTTTGCGTCAACAAACTAAACTGCATGCGATACCTCGCTTGGGCTGCGCCGACACTCGCGAGCGCCGTTATTAGACACAGCTGCTTCTGAGGTTTCGCTACATTATGTTTTTGAAACATGCCCCAAATGTGGCACACTCCCTGTCCATGGCCCCGCTTTTTTGTAAAAGTAGCTCTGGGCGGACGCGACGGGACGGGAGGATGGGGGTCCGTGCGAAGTTTTGAGGGAACGCTAAACCTAATCGTATAGCCAAAGTGATTGTGTACATCCAACCTTGCTGGCAAATACGTCATCGCTGCGGCTTCATCTTTGCTGTTTGGATTCTCAGAGCAGCGGATGCACTGCTGAAGACCCCGCTGTCTCGGATTGTTTTATGTCCGGATGCATTCTTCATCGCCGCAGCGGTGGCCGACAGTCTCTTCGTGTCCCATTCCAAGCCTTTTGTCCAGATGCCCGCTCGCAAAACCAACACCGCCGCCAAATGAAACTGTCGTCCGGAGCGGCGTGCGCCATAATTCGCCGCTTGAAAGTGACGGCCGCTTCCCCACCCTGGCGCCAACCAAACTAAGCCGAAATGCAAACAGCGATTCGGCTGGTGAACTCAACTCAAACTGCCGTCATTCACCGTAATGGAGCTCGGCTCCCGCGCCGGACTCGCGCGCGCGCGCGCGCCGCCGCCGAGCCGGTTATGAGCGGCATGACGTCATCACGCTGATGAACCGCCGGCAGGCTGGCCGAGAGAGCGGCGCTAAAGTTTTAATTTGACTGTTGATTGATTGTGCCGCGCGTGGCTGTCGCGTCGCCCGCTGCAGGGAGATGTCGGGCCGTCGCTCGAGCCGCGCGTTGGGGGTGGCCCGATGGGCCGGCCATGCCTGCTGGGGTTTGCCGGGCCGGCACGCCATGTGGGTCACACGTGCTGCGCTGCTGTTGGTCTTGTCGGACTAGAGGGCGCCAAACTTTCAGTTGCCGAAAATGCCAAACTTTCAGCTGCTGAAAATGCTCAGCTTCCAGCTGCTGAGAATGATAAACTTTCTGCTCCCAAATTTTCCATGGTAGGGTATATGACATTTGCTTTTATGTATTTGAAGTCTGTTAGTATTATGAAGTCATGCAAAAACAGCCAAATAGAGGGCACTAGCATTTTGCTTGACGTAAGGTTAACGTTATGCAGTCCACTCAATCGTTGAGCCCAGCACAGCCAGCTCACCACCTGCCGGCTGCATTTCACGGCGGCAGCCCACCTGCGGCCGCCGCGACGCCTACCACAGCAGCTGAGCGTCGGCGCCCTGTTACAGGATGATGTTCGACTTCTCTGAAGACGCGGAGGCGGCGACGGGCGGCGCGTCGCGAGGCGACGGCGACGCCGGCCCGACCCGGTGAGCGGGTGGCGATCGCGCCTCTTCCCGCAGCCGGGGAACAGTAGGAGGGGAGGGATGGGCGGCGGAGGGCCCCCGGCCGCGCCGACGGGCGGGGCGGGGTTGGTGGCACGTGCAGCGGCGCCGCACAGTCGCGGCGAGACCAGTTGTGTGGTGTGGTCAGGCATGTCGGGAGTGGCGTAGGCAACGCTATGTAACACGCGTCAGAGTGGCCGGTTGAATACCCTCCTCTCGGGGGTCATTTTGACCCCCAAAGAACTCGGGAACTAACAAAGCTAGATATACCAAATTCACAGGGTGTGTTGGGCTGTACATGAACTCATTTTGGTCAAAGTTTGAGGTTCTTAGGTCATGGCCTTCAGGTCGAATAAGATCAAACAAGGTCAAACTCCAAGCTGGTCCCCAAAGTACCCCTAGAACCTAGATACCTGCTCTAAGCAAGCTGTCACATGCTCATTTAAGATCAGCACATTTCGAAATAAGCACCATGAACTATCTCGTACAGAAAACCCTGGAGGAATGAAACAAGTTGGCTTTTGACCGTGGTCAGATGTTTATACGTGACCCGAGGTCAATGAAATTTGTTTATTCCATTGTGGCGTTGCCTAAGAGTCGAAATTGATTTCGCTGAATCCATGGCCTGACTTTGATCCACCGTACGTCAGCTATCCTACAAGGTACATCTAAACTTTTGCTACCAATCTGTTGCCGCAGCAGATTGTACAGTGTTCAATTGTCAATTGAACAACTGAACAGTGTTCAGTTGTCTGCAGCTATGCAGACAATTGAATTGAAAAAAGACAACAAGCAACAATTCTGAACGGCGCGGCTTAGCCGCGCCGTTCGGAAAGCATTCCGCAAAAATCGTGGGGGGGGGGTCATATTGATTCCCACCCGAGCGCGTGTCGATATAAATAGTGTAAAGGCACAGAATGTGTGGTCGAATTATACATTTTTAAAGGAATTCATATCACGGAAGTTCGGAACATGCTGTGCTTGCAAGCTTGGCCCTCGGCTGGTATTGCTTGGTACGCAATCATCTTATTGTGGCCTTGGTTCTAAGTATGCTGCGTAAGGCCGATAGAGGTCATGGAAGATCGTCACTAAGTCAGTAAACACACGCCCACACTAAGTCAGTACAAGTCGTTAATGTGTCCCTAATTCGTGAAAATGAGTTATTATTAAAAGTCATTAATCTTCATCATGCAGCATTGCAACGTGATGAAAACAAGTTCTCAAGCAGTGTGGAGGCTATATTTATCGTACATTAAGTACTAGAGGTGGATGTCGGTTTTTGGAAAGTGTCATTTAACATTGTTCGACTTATACCCTTGCATCGCCTGGCGTCTATGCCATCGCGTGGTTAGGTAGTTTCAAGCAGCCTGCTGTTTGCGATAGCCTGTTGTTCAATTTTCAACTGCTAAATGTGTGAAACACTGCGTATTCGTCTATGGGTCGGCTTGACCCTGTCCAAGCCCCGGTCTGCACTGACCTTCATTCCGCCCCGCCGGTGACCTGGACCTGCATGGTCCAGCCTACCATCGCACCAGCACGGGCACACTTGTCGGTATCGGCACCGGCCCACGACGCACCAGTGACAAGGGAACTCTGATTGGTTACACGCCCATTGTCCCAGCCCGTGCGCTGGCGGTGGCCAAGAGGCCACTCAACGGGTGTTTTCTCTGACAAAATCCACGGCTATCGAAAACTTAAGCGGACAGAATCGCCCTATTAGCCCTGAATATTGAAGGGGAACGGCGCATTCTCCAGTGGCCATCGGACCAGTCAATGTCAACTAACTCCCTCACCGGCGGGCAGCCTACCACCTCTCGGGCGTGCGCCCTGTGCATCACTGGAGCAGCTCGCTCTGCTCTCACGTCACGGCTGGCCGTGACGCGTCGTGACGCCGTGTGACCGGCCGCCGTCACCGGAAGGGCCGCGCCGGACCCCGGCCCCCGGCGGACACGCGTCGAGCCGCCGCCCGCGCCGCCGATCTCGCCCTGGCGAGAGGCACTCGTCGCCACTTTTGGATCGCTCTCGTACTAAGTTGTCGCGGCGTGCCCACTCGACGGCCGGGTATTAAAAGGCCACGCCGCTGACACGGCGGAGTCCCGGGGGGCTGGGAGTCGGTGTGGGCAGTCCCATACAAACACGAGTATTTCTCCGCTCATGCCCCCTGTGTTCACGCGCTTGACACGGAACATGACTTACTGCGCATGTTTGACGATCGCGTAGGGTGTAAGAAAGTGGATAATTTTGTAAACAGCGGTAGCCGAGGTGGCGTGCGTGGTGTGCTCACCTGACGCGTTTTCATCATAAGTTTTCAAGGTTTTAGGGCCGCGTAGTGTTTTCTTTACGTTGTTTTACTTTGATTACGTCCTGAAAGTAGGAGTGTTGCGCTGAAAATCCTACGGCGCATTTTCCACGGCGTCTGTACCGAACGTAGCAGCGTAACCCGGGGTAACAACGCTTCATGTCACTTGCTACTTTGCAGCTTTTCCGGAGGCTTTCAACGTCGCAAGCGATTCGAATCAACTGTTGGATGTAATTGCGTCAAACTCTTGCGTCACCGAGTCTGCCAAGTCGTTGGATGTCCTTTTACTGCCGTGAAGGAAAGAATGCATTGACTTTATCTTTCATGCCTGGGTCAATGGTTGACATTTGCGACGTTGTAGATTTAACCGAGGTTCATTTTCTGATTAGCTTACGTAGACGCAGTTAAAGTTTGAGCCTTGTAACGGGACGCTTTTCCAGGTAACTCATTATTGACTTGGTACTGAAGATAATTCGATAGCTCCCTTCCCCGAGCCGGGATGGAGAGTACTGCGATTGCACCGACGACCCAACTGTGTCCTGCAGGTCGCAGTCACAGAGCCAGCCGGAGGCGATGCAGAAGCGAGAGTCGTCCGACAGCTACGTAGGCGCGGAGGATGAGCCGGCCCAGGGACGACAGGACGCCGTCTCCACGCTCCTGCCCGTCCTCAAAGGTCAGATGCTGACACTCTGTGATTGCTGGATCACGGAGGAGCAGCACGTGAGGCTCCAAGGCGCATTTTAGCTGTCGTACGCGCGGACACTGCCAACGCCCTTTGCTTATCTTTCATGATTTGCATGCCACACTGGCGGCTCGCATAGGCCGCTACCTGTGGTAGCATCACCGTGGATACTTTTGCCGGTCTTTCGGCCCCTGTCAAAAATCTATTTCTGGTGCGAGTTGCCAGGCGTGTGCTGCGCGAGGAGGCTCCTGCCGACCGGCGCTTCATCACGTCATAGTATGGCGAGCACGTGGCGCACCTGGCGAGGGGGCTGCGATCAGCGGCGGCTAACGTGTGTGGGCGGACACCACCTGCGCGGCGGACACTTCTCCGGTCCGTGTCCGTGTGGCGGCACAGGCGCTGGGAGGTCCGACGGCGCGGCAGCTTGGCCGCCATCTGGCCAGTTTGTTGGCCGCCTGGTGTCCTCCAACCTCACGCGGCCAGGCGGCCCTGGTGGGCTGGCGTGTTGGCCCCTGTCGACGACCTAGTGCAATGGGCGAGTCGCTGCTGTGGCCCTCCGCTCGGTCCGGCCCTGCTGCTCCCGACTCAGGCGCCACAAGGCGGACCGAGAGGCTGGCGGCGGTGCGTCTTCCTGGTGTGCAGTAATGCTTCACAGTCCGTTTAGTCACGGTTTGCGGACAGTGGACACCCGCGGCTGAGCGCCGTCGCCGCCGCCACCATCACCACCATCGCCTCCGCCGCCGCCGGGCGCCATTGTTCGCCGCCGCCAAACAATCGGATGCGCATTTTGCAGCGGCGCAACCTTTGGCCGGGCGGCGGCCGTGATGCATGGGGCGGAGTGGCGGCGGACTTTCCAGTCATTTTTCATCGCTGTCGAATTGGGCCGAGCACGCGGCCGGCTCTCTGCAGCGGCGGAATCGATCACGGACGCCTCGCGCCTTGCCGCCGCGGGCGCGGCTGCCGCCGCTGGGGCCGCGCGGGTTCGGCCGTCGCCGCACGGCCGTTCACGGAACGCCACCGCAGACGTATCGATTGGCACGAGTGGTGCGTGGTAGGCATCCAGGCCGGCCGGTGTCTATCTCTGTGCTGGCGGCCGGGCGGCCGTGCGTGATCTGCGGACCTGTCGGCCGCGCGGCGCCGAGCAGCCGGCCGCCACGCCCGCTGACCTTCGCCGCGCCCGCCCACGCCGACCGACGGCTGCTGCGGCCGGTCGGAAACACGCTGGCGCACGACGCGCCGCGGAGATGAACGCTGGCGATTGGCGTAGTTGGGTTGGTGGACCGGAGACCGAGTACAGGGCGGGGAAGGCTCGTTTGTGATGCGCGGCCGCAGCCGCCGCCGCCGCTTTGCTCGGACGAGCAGACCCGTCGTCTGCTTTAGCACAGCACATTCCACTCCGCCTCAGGGAGGCGGCGGGAAGGAGGGGGGGGGGGGGGGGGACGTACTGTCCCGCAGGAGCGACACGCTTCGCCACCTCCACCTCACAATCACTGAATTCACTAGCGACGCTCGCGCTCGCTGGCCGCACCTTGTTTCCGTCGGACGCGCCGCCGTCTGCCCGGGGACGCCTGATCGTCGCGCCGCGCGCCGCATACGGACGAGGCCCGTGCTGCGGTGCCGGGTGGCGTCGACGGCGACGCTGGCGACGTCGGCGCCGACGGCAGCGCTGACGCCGGTTCAGTGCCCCGGGCAAGCGTAATCGGAGACGATGCGCTTTAATTGCTGCTCGCCAGTCATCTTCATATGCGATTGATTTCCCGTGGGAGCGGCCGCCGCCGAGCCTGGCTATACTCGGCTCCAGAGCGGCGCCAGGAGGCCCAGGCGGCAGCCGGGAACTCGGGTCAGACCAGCCGGCGGGTGCCGCTCGCCTGGGGCGGGCCGGGGCGCGACATCCCGGCTCCGAGGGGACGTGGATCCCCAGCAGGAGACACACACGCCGCCTGGGGTGTCGGATGAGGGCCGTCCGCGAATGACCTAGAAGTTGGCCTGGTGTGACCTGACAGTCCGTTTGGCTATGGCACGCGACGTTGCATGGTTTTAAGCTCGGTTTTAGGATGGGAGCTGTAATCAGTGGCTTATAGCTGGGTGTACTGTGTCGACAAGGAACGTGGTAATTGGTACTGTAGGATGTCCCTATCGGGCGCGATCGCAAAGCCGGACAACATACTTTCAGCCACCGGCTCTGCGCCTGCGCATCAGGCGGAAGCGTGACCTCAAAGGGCGGGTCTCCAGATACTGCTGACCGGCTGCTGCTGACTTTACAGGCATGCTTACAGTGGCACAAACAGGGAGGGGGGGGGGGGGCACAGGGGCAGGTGACCCCCGTAGGTTCCGAGGGGCCCGAAGGTCCCCTCGGAACACACGATTAAGAGCCCGATTGGAGGGCCCGAAGAGCCGGAAAGGCCAGCTGGAGTTCTCATTCAGGGACCCGGCCCCCGGCCTAGAAGGCCCGCTGATCAGGGGCCCGCTGAGTCGATAAGGGCTTGTATTTTGGTCAGACACCACCAGTAATGCACAGTCAGCCGCGTGGCGGCATGGGCCCAAGGGTCCATTTCCCAAGCAAGGACAAAGCCGAGGCCAGCGATTTACATAGCTCGGGGCCCATAGCACCTAACAGGGGCCCTGTGTTGTCAAGGGGTCCCGAGTCGGGTAGAGACAGTGTTCGAGGAGGCCCGAAGAGCCTAAAGAGCCCACTGGGTCCAAAGGCCAAGGGCCCAACTAGAGGGTCTAGAGGCATAAAGGGCAGGTCGAAGTATTATTCTGGTGCCCTGACCTGCGAAGAATGACCCTCAAATAACGATTAGAGAGACCTTTGTGCCGATCAGGAACCCCTGAGCCAATAGGGGCCTGTATGTCGGTCAGGTACCATCGTATCACATAGTCGGCTCCGTGTCGGTATAGGCCTGAGGACTCACTTCCCAATCAGCTGTAAAGCCGGGGCCAGTGATTTACACTGGTCTGGGGCCTTGTGTCTGTCAGGGGTCCACAGCGTCTAACAGAGGGCCCTCCGCTTACAAGGGCCCCGAGTCGACTAAGGGAAGAGTTCGATGAGGCCCGAAGGGGAATCCGGGCGGCCCACCGGAACCAACGATCAAGGGCGCGGTTGGATGGCATAATGATCCGAAGGACTGGCTGTAGGTCGCAAAAAAAGTCGCGGCCCGGAGGGCCATGGCCTGTGATATCAGTCAGAGGTCCTATTGCACCGTTTGAGGAACCTCTGAGGCAATTTGGGTGTCTATGCCGTTCAGAGGCTACTAACACCTAACAGTGGGCTCCGTCCGTCGGTGCCCTTGAGACCCGTTTTCCAAACAAAAACGAGCCCCGGGTCCGCGATTTGCAATGCTCGGGATCCCTGACATAATGAGGGCTCCTGTGTCGGTTCGGTCGGGGGGCCACGGTACCGAACAGGGGTCCTTTGGAGTCAAGTGACCCCGGGTTGGAGCGGTGTTTGAGGGGGTCTGAAGAGGGGCCGAAGGGCCTCTCGAAACCAAAAATCAAAGGCCCGATGAGATGGTTGAAGGGGCAAAAGAGCTCCCAGCGGATCACACTAAGGATCCCCCCCCCCCTCCGTGATCCGCATCGCATAGTCGATCCGGTGGGACATAATCTCGAATGTCAGTCAGGTGATGTCTTGCACCTATAAGGCCTCCTGAGACAGAGCGTTCCTGTACTTCGGCCATAGATCACGAACAACGAGCAGTCGGTTCCATGTTGGTCTGAGCTCTAGGGGCCCATTTCCCACGCAAAGACAAGGCCGGGCCCGCGATTTACATTGGTCGAGCTTCTGTATCGCGGTCATTCTGTGTCGACGAGGAGCCTCGAATCGGCGCTGAGCGCGCAGCAACGACCATCGTAAAATAATGTTTCTGAATGTCTCAAAATGAATTCGTACAGTTCAAAGATTACGCTGGGCGAATCTTTTTTACAACTTTGAGGTTGTCCTCTGGACATATTAACAGTTACAGCAACACGGAAATTATAGATTTTACTTTTGCTCTTCCAGTTCTACCATCAGACACCTCCAGCACTTCGCAGTGCGGGAAAGACAGATAAGTTATTGCCATCAATCTAAAACCGCACGAGTGAAATATGCGCCCGGAATATCTCTGAATGTACGATGTGGTGTCCAAGATCGTTCAAAGGCATTTCTCTCAGATGCGTCGCCATTTTTGTTCACCTGTTGGCCACGGCCTAGTATTAGCCGCGGGACCAATGCTGTGCAACTTTAGGAGACTTTAACGCCGGACGTCGAGTCTTTTTTCGTTACCGAGATATGTGAACGCTCATACTGAAAGCTGCGCTACATAATTTATGTCACTAACCAATCCTGACTGAATGTTGAACATATCCAGACAAACACGGCTTGACCATATTAATGCAAATTGTTGACCGATTTTGATCTTCAATCTACATTCACGGAATCCTTGCTATCTCTGTACGACCCAGAGGAAAATTCTGACAAAGTTTCTGAGTTCTATCGGCTTATAAAGAGTTCACTAGGCCAGTGCAAAATGAAGAGGCCAGTGATCTATTTCATGCAGTCATTTAACGCATGATGTTTTCAGTTTATTTACCGTAAACTTAGCGCATATATATATATATATATATATATATATATATATATATATATATATATATATCATACCTAAGTTAACGTATCCTCAATAACAAATTGGCCATAGCCAGTGATTTTTTGGGGTGCCTTTTACTATCAGGGGGCCCTTTGTTAACCAGAAGCCCCCCCCCCCTTGCCAAGGCTCTGGCTGCGCCCCTGCATGCTTATGTCGTCCTTAGCCTTGTATGGCTTAGAACGCGATGTTAGGCGCACTACACAAAATCTACTGCAAACTGTGCGCTGGCAGTTGCAGTGGAAAGTCCCTCCTATTGTGCAAAATTTGATATCAGCGTGACCGCGAGCTCCGGTTTGGCACGCTTCTGTGATGGCGATTTCTGTATCTGCCGTGTTCAGTGCCGTACTTTTCTGTTTCCGTGTCTGGTATGATTGTGGTCGTCATGCAACGATGTGTGGGCTTGGCTCACAGCGTATTCTTCGATCAGCCATCCGTTTGGCGAATCCCAGAAGCCAAACAGGTCGATAGCCGCGCCATTATGATGTTCAGCGGGACCCTGTCGGCCCTCGACCGGTCTAGGATGGCTGCGTTATGAAGTATTCCGCAATCACAAAGCAATCAACAGGATGATGCTCTGTACCTTGTCGCGCCTCGCCTGTGTGGCGTGCAGCCTTTCATCGCTGCGCATAAAGCTCGTGAGCGAGGCGAACCCGCGGCTCCAGCCAGCTTATTTCAGCCACACGCCGTCGCGTTGAACCGGGAGTGTTCCGCGCGCTCGGCGCAGAGCCTGCACACGGCCTCAGGACAGCGGCCTTACGCACAGCGCGCGACCCGCGGCCCGCGGCCCGAGCGCGCTGCCGGCAGATGTGAGACGACTGAGTCCAAGGTTTAAGCGCGCCGCTTAGGCATTCCTTGTGCAGTGGGGCTGTGAGATACTGATGTGTATGCACGCGGTTGCATATTTTCAAACGTGGCCACTTCCCGCTGTTTCGTTACGCTGTGTTGCCTCTCCGACAACTGACGCGTAGTAGCCAGGTGTTTGTGTGTTGAATGTCAGCTGGTGTCAAATAATAATGATAATAACGGTCAATATTGTTATTAAACGTGACTTAAGAACGGACGGAGTAGGGCAGCATGAGAATTAACAAACGTCGCCGTATTTCGGTGTATTTTCTTACATGGATAGTGCATTTCAATCAATTTCGCATCCTTCTGTCCTTTCTACTTCACCGCCATCCATCAAAACGTTCCTCGTTGCAAGCTGTACTTTCCCGTTTCTGGGCTCCATCCACATCTTTAAGGATTATGGTGACTTCCTCGACCTAGCGTGTTCTCGGCGGTCGTCCACGGCCGGCAGAGCGTCGCCGACTCTGAAGGGGTGCGTCCCCAGCCCTGAAGCGGAGTGTCACCGGCCCTGAAGCGGAGTGTCCTCGGTCCTGAAGCGGAGCGTCCCCAGCCCTGCAGCGGAGCGTCCCCGGCCCTGAAACGGAGCGTCGCCGACTCTGAAGCGAAGTGTCCCCAGCCCTGCAGCGGAGCGTCCCGACCCTGAAACGGGGCGTCCCCGGTCCTGAAACGGAGCGTCGCCGACTCTGAGGCGAAGTGTCCCCAGCCCTGCAGCGGAGCGTCCCCGACCCTGAAACAGAGCGTCCCCGGTCCTGAAGCGGGGTGTTCCGAGCCCTGCAGCCGATACCATGCGGCCCCGCCGCCGACTGCGAGCAGCCAGCTGGCGGCCGTCACCGCCGGCTCGCGCCGTATCCGGCCGACCGCCCCGGGCGCTGACTGTCGGCCTGGTTTTTAGGGTATACCCTGAGCACGTGACTGGTCAGGTCAACCGAGTCGCATTGGTCCGGTGAAACCGGTCAGGCGAAAGTTCCCTGCGGCGGGAATTGAGCCCGTGCCTCCCACTCCAGCACTGGAATCCCGAGCTAGGGAGTCCGGACCACGGAATCACCGGGCTACGGAGCCCACGCCATGGAGCAACCGGTCTAGGGAGTCCGGACCACGGAATCACCGGGCTACGGAGCCCACGCCAGGGAACAATCGGTCTAGGGAGCCCGGACCACGGAACCACCGGTCTAGGGAGCCCGGACCACGGAACCACCGGTCTAGGGAGCCCAGACCACGGAACCACCGGGCTAGGGAGCCCAGACCACGGAACCACCGGGTTAGGGAGTCCAAGCTATTGAACCGCTGGGCTGGGGAGTCCGAGCCATGAAACCAGCGCGCTAGGGAGTCGGGACCATGGAGCCACCGTGATTGGAAGTCCGGACAATGGAGCCACCGGAAGCCCGAGCCGTGGGCGGGAGCTGCCCCGCAGAGCGTCACAGTTCTCTGCAGCACTGTGCAGCGGTGACCTCTGTATTGGTGCTGCAGTGGCGTGGCGATGAGCTCCGCTGCCAACAGCAGGGGCTCGCGCCGTGCGCCGTCCGCCTGCCGCCGCCGCCCGCTGCCGGCCTTGGTCCGGGGTCGGCACCGGTGCGACCCGTGTCCCGCCTGACAGCGGGAGCCGTGTAGAGCACGGCCGCGCGTGCGGCTCGGCGAGGGACGCCGCACGTGTCGGCGCCCGCACTGGGGTTAGGGGTCGCTGGGGGCGGCTCTGATGACCTGCGGTATCGACGCTGGCGGTGGGCTCCCAGGCGGCACCGCCGTGCACCGCCGCCGTGCTTCTGCGGCACAGATGCGGCTGCCAGGAGGCGGATGTCTGCTGCAAATTGTACGCGCACGCTGCACAACACCATGTTTCACACACACACACACACACACATACACACACACACACACACACACACACACACACACACACACACACACACACACACACACACACACACACACACACACACACACACACACACACGCACGCACGCACGCACGCACGCACGCACGCACGCACGCACGCACGCACGCACGCACGCACGCACGCACGCACGCACGCACGCACGCACGCACGCACGCACGCACGCACGCACGCACGCACGCACGCACGCACGCACGCACGCACGCACGCACACGTGACCACAAACTTGACGCCAACTCGTTGCCTAACAGCATGGAGTGTACGCGCTGACGCAAGTGCGACAATGGCAATACCATTCGTTGACAGCGTGTTCGCGCTATCAGCCGTTAGGTGGGAGATCACATAGCATGTCTTACCATTTTTCATGATGTTGGAAATCCATTCCGCCATTGTTCAAATCCTACCAATTTTATATTTAATAAGCGGCTTTTAATGGTGGTACTGTAGCCAAGCAGAGAACATGTCCATCTGGATTGGTAAGTATCCGTTTTTTGAAAGTTACCGGTGTAGAGCTTCCCACTGCATGCGATGGAAAGCGATTCAAAATTGAAATGTCTTGGCTGTAAATGCTGTTACCGGAAACTGAACTGATCCAGTTTCAAGAGCTCTTACACAACGCCCTTTTTCCTATCCCTATTTGTATTCCTATTGGGTCTGCATTAATAGATTTCCTGTTCCAACTTTTAGACTGTTGATATCAATCTAACTCGAAGCAACATCTATCACATCCTCTGCAGCGGCTATGACACAGTAACTGAAAGCACAAACAAGCCAATCCATCAATAAAATCCCTTCTTTTCAGCGCTTTCGCCATTTCAGTAGCGCTAAGTTGCTGTTTTCTTTTGATGATTATTTATTCTTCCCATAATACGCAAACGTGTACACAGCACTGTAAATGGGGTTTGACGTACACACAGTACAGGTTGTATCACCACCTTGCCCCTGTACGTGACTTTCGCAGTTACGCGTCGAGCGCGGATGTGCCACTGGCACCTGAAGGCCTTATCGAATACGCCAACGGCATCGGCGCCGCAGCCCTTGACGCTACCAAATCCGTCTGAGGCACGGACCAGCCATCGCGGACCCGATTTCAAACGGCTTGCCCAGCCGCGAGGCCCGGTGCCGTGGGTGGAGCCCTGCTGGGAGCAGCAGCCGCGGACCGGCCCCGGCTGGTGCCGGCGCGGCTGCGAGCAGCGTGCGGAGCGCGGGAGCGGCGGCGCTCGTCGCTTCGGCCGGCCTCGCTCCGTCAATGCCGACTGCACGTCCCAACGACGCGCGAGCTTCCGAAACGCCAGGGGGTGAGGTTCGGGTCACCGGAGGCAGCGCCCACGCGCGTGGTGCACGGCCGCCGATGCGAAGCCCTGGTCGTGCCGAGCCGTCCCAGCTGCGTGCTGCGAGGGGGCGTGGGACGACGGCCACACCCCGTGTCACCGGGATCTTCAGGGAGCGGACCGGGGGAGGACGGCCGGTCGGGTTGCGGGCTGCCGTCTGTCTCCCCGGCCGGCTCCCACCGGTGCCAGCGCGTGGGACTGCTTCAACAGCGCTCCGCACGGCTGCTCGCGGCCTGGGCAGCTGCTGGGGGCAAGCCGTTTGCGGTTTTCTGGCTGTTGCAGAGGCGCCAGAGCGGGCGCCAGCGCCAGGGCTTAGTAATGCATCCGGGTACGGGAGCCCACATCGTGCTGCTTAAAACGAGGCGTGGTTTTCACAGACGCGTTTGTGTCCTTTTCGCTTTTGATGCACTAGCCGCGCGAACTTTCAACGTACGGGCGTGATCTGCTTGTAGCCGCACATCGCTTGTCAGGGTATTCCGGCATATTAAACAAAATTATCCCTTCTCCTGTTTCATTTAGGGCGCTTTTTCGGCGTGGTGACCATAAATCGAGGTGTGTGAACTGTGCCTACTGAAAGGAATTGACCTTGAAAGCCTCAGGTACTTCAGAGGGTTTTAGGCGTAGACGAAGCAAACTAACGGCAACTGAATGCTGCGTTTACCACCATTCTCCGGATACCGGCTCCCACATGCCATCTTCGTTTTCAGCTGGCAATGTGTTTTCTGTGACAGCCACGAACAACGGGCCTTGACTCGGTCATATTTCATACAGCTCCGATATAAGAACATTGTGCTTAACGTTCACTGGTGCCCGGTAGCGAGCTGCCGCGACAAGTCAGAACACGCCCATGGAATACCAGCGTCCGTTGTGCGGCCCGTTTTCAGACATCTCGCATCAGTTCTCCGAGTTCATGGGGGCGATGGAGACGGCTGTGCGGGACCTAGCGAAGTCCGAGAACGACATCCACGCGGAGCTGCTGCAGCAGGTGGCGCAGTCGAGGCAGGTGAGGCCGGCGTCGGCGCCTCTCGCGGTCGCCGGCCACCGCCAGACACCGGCGGAGGCCGTGGGTTCTCCGTGCCGCGGGGCTTCCGTGCCGCGGGGCCTCCGTGCCGCGGGGCCTCCGCGCCGCGGACGGGAGCTGAGCGTCGCTGTACCCGCGGCTCGTGCACTGCCGCCGGTCAGGTGAGGTGCTGTCATGAGGTGTGACGGGACGTCGTGACAAGGGTGTGGACCGGCGGCCCCGTAGAGGCGGCCGCGTTAAGCCTGGCCTCGGTGGGATTATTGTTGGAATTGGACGATAGCTTTTGTAATTGTGATGATACTCGACGTTTCCAAGCCAGTGTTCATGGCCATGAGAGATAATACAGATCCTGTAAATCACGTAATTTTCTCAAACGAAATCCTACGGAAGATGTTAACGGAGCTGCAGCAGTTGCTATGCATCACTGGCGACCGTAAGCGCTGTCTTTTAACGCCGAGCATTTTCGTAATATATGCTATTGTTTTTTTATATCGTTTGAGCATGACCTCCCGGAATGTCGGTTATTGCCGCATCTAGGGTTGAGATGTGTTGTTATCCCTTACCGATTTGCAGACGGTAGGCTGACCTGCACCATACGGCTGGCTTCACTCGTGCACCTGTTTTGGCTGTCGAGATTTATCAGCTCTTAGCAAGCAGCGGGAGCAGCCACGGCTCGCGCACAATTGCATGCGATAGCCAACGGCCGTTTAGTATTATCCGTCCGTGGGCATAAATAAGCCCGCCGTCGTGAGGCCTGCGGCCGATATTTGGACCTAGTTTCGATCAGCGTCCGCCAGCTCGTTCGTGATCGGAAATTTTACGTTGCCCATATTAATCGAATGGAGAGTAAAAATCGTGGCGATGTTACGCCATGAAACAAGCATTACACCTGATCAAAGTTGTGTGCCTTTTTAAGTGCCCGGACAATATCACAGTCTAACTTCTCAATAGTTTTACCAGAGCTTACTGAGAAGTGTCTAGCGCTACGGTCAGTGGTTGCAAAGATAAGCTTGTGTGTCGGGTGTGTCGGGTCGCTGGAGCCACCGAATTCCGGGTCGTTGACGTTAAGACTCGCTCCGCCGGCAGCGGCGCTCATGATGACCGCTACGGGATGCAGCGCGTGGCTGGATGAAAATAGCAGTTCGGGCACGTCTTGATGTGACCTCTACGAACATATCGAGCATAGTTCTGTCATGAGACTCCCAGAGTCGTTCATGGAGATGCTGAGCATGTTTGGGGAGAAGGCTCCCACATCATGTCATGATATCCAATTGTTGGCAAAGCAATTCACGCAAAAAGGTAAATCCATTGCCTAACGAGGCTCGGAAAATATGAGCGTTTAAATACTTCGCGTAGTGTCAGCGACAAATTTTGCGGCGAAAATTTTCTTTACGCTACAGTGTAATAAATATTTGCTGATTCCTGTGGGCTGGGCGCATATGCTCGGGCGTTGGCTGTATCCACTAGTTGATGAGTTGTTGTCAAGCAGTGTTATTCTGTAGTTTCTCCGCTGTTTGTAAAGAAACCATTTAATATTGTGAGTCACAGCGAAAACTGCATGTCGTTTTGGAGTCACCCCTGGCTCGGGCCATGATACTAAACGCTTATACGCGTGGAAACGTTCCTAGACGCCCTACAGTTTGTCCACGTGGAAGTTTGTCCGCGTGTCGTGCCTGGTAGAACAATCGGGCCTTGCGACACGTTTAGCTTTCGCCGCAAAATTTGTCGCTGACCCGGCTTTTGCGACCGAGGGGTGAGGTGAGGGCTCACGCAATAAGCACTGCTAAGCTGGGACGCTGATCCCACAAATCCATTCAGTCAAGGGGGCCGGACAAAATCTGTAGAAGGGTGAATGAACAAACTGTGGCAGGTCAAGGCAGTCTGTATGATATGCCGAGGCATCCCCGTAAGGTTATGTTTACGAACCTTTGCATGTTTGATGCTCATTTACGTGAACATCCAAGTCAGCTTTGGCATGAAATATATTCTGAGATTGCCAAATTCGGCGCTGGTGTTTCAGAGTATGTCTCATAGGCTGTGGCGAGCGATTACGGGATTGACTCCGCGGTGGTATAAACTCCCCACATTTGCTTGGGCGATGTTTGCCACTTTATTTGCCAGCGAACTATACGGCGGGGGTCGTCCGGTATGTGGTATGTGGCATGTGGTATCTCGGTCGTTTAGTGCTAACGGTCACGCGCAAAAAGCCGTACCCCGGTGTTGTAAGTCTGGACAGCCGCACCCCTTTTCACTGACGAATGGTTTCAATCGGAGCAACACCATCCATCAGTAGTTCTTATGCTCAACGATGCGCTGTGCGTCGTTCCCGTATCTGGCGCGTTGTTGTATTCGATGAATCGCAGCAGATTTTTTGCTGCTCTACGTGTACAAAACGGCACGACGATACGAATCCGACGGGCCATCCATCTTTGGTCACAGCCGGCCCGCTAACAGACCCCTGAAGCTCGTCCATGGCGAGACAAACGACTAAAACAACTGGTGCTGCTTCCGGGCCGGGCAGAAGTCGATTTGTAGCTGGATCAAGCCCGGTTATTTATTCTCGCCGGCGCCGGGTGGCTCGTCGCCAACATCCACCGATCCGCCAAGACAGGCGGTGCGGCCGCCGTCCTCCACGACACATGAACACACAGGCTGTCTGCCGGCGAGCCGACCCGGCCCAAATGCATCGACCCGCTCATCAATCGCGCCGGGCGAAGTCGCTGCTCGTTAGCCGGCCGGCTGCAGCACTGTCCGGGCCTGGTGCGATTAGTTGAATCAGGCCCGCCAGCGCGCCGACTAGGAGCGGCGACCGCCGGCCGGCGCCGGCGAGCACGCAATCTCACCGCTCAAGCCCACCCGATTTACAGGCTCCGTATTTCCCCGGCAGCCGGTCGAGTTAACCGAAGTGTTCCGCCCGAGAACGCGGCGGAATTATCTGATTCCTGGCGCGGCCCGATACCGGGACCGTCGCGCGGCGCCGGGGAGCGCCGGGGCCCGTGGCACCGCGCCGGCAGGCCGCGCCGCTGGAAATAGCCTGTCGCGGTTTGTCATCGACACGTGATTTGTGTCGCGCGGCCCTCCATCCCGCTGGTGTCGCCGTTCCGGCCGTTTGCTCGCCGTCGGCAGCTGGGCTGCCGGTTTGAGGCTTTCTGGGGGTGTCGGCGCCAACGAGTCTGCACGTGCTCTGGCGAGGCGGATGGAACGCGGGTCCGGGCGTCGCTTCTCAAAGCGTTTGAAGCTGTACAGGCTGCACACGAGACACGCGGCACTGGTCTGAAGTCTCTCGCCGCAAACATGATGAAAATACTACACTAGTGATTTTCAATGCCGGTGGACCGCTTGGGCTATTCCCGCGCACTGCTCAGGTGGGAGTGATCCAAAGCATTCAGCCCCGCAGTGTGCATGGCAGCTTCTGGAAGACCTCACCCGCGTTTGCGGCATGACCGCCGAGCCTGCTGGTTTCGACTGATGGCCGCTGCTCTCAGCGAAGGTTGCCGTGTCGTTGGGGCGGCCTGAAGCCGCCGCAGCCAGCCGCCGTGGAGGTAGGCCGGCCCGCTGTACACCCGAAGCCTGACGCGGCGCCTCGTCAGGGGTGGCGTGCAGGGGAGGGGGTGCTGGGTGGAGACCGCGCGGCGAATTATGTGCGCGCCGGAGTGTCGCGCGCGGCAGCACGGCATGGGCGGGTCCGAGCCCACCCGCGACCACCCGTCTCGGTACGGCCATAGCGGTCAGCCGAGCGGCACGGCACGACGGGCGGCGCGGCGCGGCCACGTGCGGCCCGCCGCGTGACGAGAGCTGGTGTCCGGGGCAGCGGTCCTCCGCCACAGCACGGCCGGTGCTGGGCTGTCACAAGCTGGAGATGACCCCGGCTGCCGGCGGTCACGGGCCGGCGGCACGGCGGCGCAGACCGTTTCCAGAAGCAGGACGGGAGGGGCAGAGTGGACACTGTACCCAGCATTCGCCGGGTCGGCGGCCGGCTCTGCTGGGGTTGCGACCGGCTCTGCTGGGGCTGCGGCCGGCTCTGCTGGGGTTGCGACCGGCTCTGCTGGGGCTGCGTCCGGTTCTGCTGGGGCTGCGCCCGGCTCTTCTGGGGTTGCGGCCGGCTCTGCTGGGGTTGCGGCCGGCTCGCAGTCGCATCTGCTCCAGGTGCGGCGTCTGTTCGGCGTGGAGTCGTCACCGGCGGCGTGCGCCTGCGATGTGCGGCCGCACGCGTCTGAGGAGCCGCTGGGGCGAGCCGTGACGAGCAGTGGAACTACAACGGAACAATAACGGAACTACAACGGAATTACAACGGAACAGCTGAACTGGTCGGTGGCTGCGCGGTACCGCTCAATGATCTTTGTCTCTTGGTGGCGGATGCGGCTCGGCCATGTTGTATTCAGACGCGTCGGACGCCAGGCGGACAGTGCAGCAGGCGGCGGAGGTCTGTTTGAAGTGCACACTTTGAGTGGTCTGCGTGGGAAGAGGAACGCGAAACAGTGCGATTTGATTGCGGCCGTTACCCCCGCTGGTGCGGGAGTTTTCAATGGGCTGGAATCCGCGCGATACGCGTGGCTGGCTAATCTGGTGCATGGCGCTCGTTCCCGGTTTATTTCTGTCGCCGTGGGTGGTGTGCTAGTGGTCGTATATTCCTGGCCATTAGGACCCACCATCGTCCGATGTGCAGGCGTCGTGGCAATACTTGATGGCCGAACGTGTCGGCTGTCGCTGAAACAGTGACGGCGGCGCGTCTTAAGCCGGATCAGAGCTGCAATCTGGCACGACTGTAACGAGAATCGTTAGGCTATCGAGCGGCCCGTGCCTATGCTCAGGTCATTAGCGTCACACCGTCCCGGACGGTTTTAGCGTTGGCAGGAGGGGGACGGTGAAATACAGAGACCAAATATTACTAGGGCCGCTGCCTGCGAGCTCGTAGGTCCCCAAAGCACGTGCTTTGAAAAGCCCGCAGGTCTGTTAGCGAGTATGCTGCAGGTTTATGAACT